GCGGAAAAGTATAGATATTACCGTTAGAGGAGTACCAGCTACCGGAATGAGATGCGCGTCTTGGAGGCATAAGAAAGGAGATTGGAAAAACGGGTGAAGGATTAAATAGAGAAACACCAAGAAGTACACAGAGATACTTATTTAAAATATAGAAGTAAACTTTATTTAACAAGTTATTTCTAAAGTTTTATCTAATTTTAATATAAACTTTTGTGCCGGAAAAATTAATCGTGGACATGGTGGGGTGATGCTGAGTCCTAGTTGTTCAATATAAATGTATAGAAGAATACGGTCTCCACAGATTATATGAAAAATAAGGTTTATACAAGTAGCTCGGATTAGAGAGACGTAATTTGATTTTCGAAATCACTATGGTCATCAATAATGAATTTGATCCATTTGCAAGTATGAGAAAAACATATGGGTTGACCTTATCTGGAAAAGGCAGCGTATTCATGTGTGTCTGATATAGTAAAATTTTTCTTTAGACCTCTAGGTTGTTGCAGAATTCGGGGTACGCTCCTTTGGTTTAGGGGAAACTGCGCGTCACTCCACTTTTAAAGCATTATCAGGCCATGAAATAACAACAATGACAACTGAAAGCTGACACCTAGTCGAAAAAATTAATTAGCCTATTTTGGCAGGTTTTTCCCGTTCCAAGAAATGATTTTAGAGCACCATAAAATAGTCCAGTCTAATTTATTCTCTACCCGTTAGAAGTAGTCATTCTTCAAGATGAACCTGTTGATTTTCTTGATTTCATGCTAGCTTGGCTTATTATTACTTCGCCTGTTCAACCAAAGACGAAATCTCAGAACATTTTCGACGAAATCGAAGGCTGCTGTCCTGAGAATTACGTCGACCTTACCGCTATAGTAAAATCAAGCTGCAATATAAAAAATCGAATGTGTAGTCATCGTCAAGGTAGGCTGACCTACGAATCTATTAATCTCATGTTTTCACACTAAATCAGACAGCCCAACGATGTTATATCAAGAGGTTAGTGAAAGATAAGTTACTTTTCTTATGCACGAATAGATATCTCAAATAAGGCGCTGCTGCATAATAACGCAAGGTTCTATGGAAGAATAATTGTGTCCAGTCAGTCGAGGGCAGTTAACTTATTGGTGCCTAAAAAACAAACTTTTAGAAGTCCAGGTCCACTTAAAAGACATTGGCAATAAAGTAGAGTGTAAGGCCATTTGAGATAATAAAGCTTGATTTGGCGCTCCTTAAAAGAAGGCGAGCTTTTGTAAATATTGCGGCATTAATCATAGATTCTGCATATGAATCAGGAAGTATTTCTATAACATGCTTAATAATATAAGGTATCAGGGTTCCCTGTGGAAATTAGAGTGGGCATATGATAGGTGGAGGAACAAGTTATTTATGCTTTTAGATAATATGACAAAATGATGTTTAAAAGGATTCCAGACTTGATGACAAGGAGGTACCAGATGAAGCTGCATAAATAGAAGATTTAGTATAGTTCAGAAATGGCTTTAAGAGGATATCATATAAATCAAAAGGGGCGATGGAAATTGATACTATCCCGGAAAACTTGCAGCATCCAGAACCAATGAGTAGCAATAGTATAATAAGGATATGTATGCAATTATAAAATTGCTGCGCCATAGTAGTGATGGATATAAGACAATATACATAGGAAATGGAAAATATTCTCAGCGCTAGAGCAACCATTCAGCTGTTAACAAAGGACCCAATAGTTAAGATTAAGCAGGTATTCCAAGATTTGTTGAAGAAATATAATATAAGCGTAAAAATAGACGAATTGAGAATAGGGCTTCTTTATAAAAATTATACAAAACTGAGGCAGAATTTGGTTTGCCAAGTATAAGCTGATAGTATAAGACTGATAGTCAACCATAAGCTCCGAGCAACACATAAACTATCGACATTTATTTGCTTTAAATAAAATAAGTTGAGTGATGGACTATGGAATATAGTGGAGAATTCAGTTAAATTTTCTTGAGGTATCAATGATTGTCGGTTGCAGGGAATATAAATGCTGGTGAGTGTAAATGTACAGTCCACCTATACAAACATCTCTGGAGAGAAAGCGTTCTTGGCACTGATATCTAAAATAGAGGTCAATGACCTGGAATTTGCGCAAATCTCTAAGGTTGCTTGATCTCAACTTCTCATTCTCCAGCTGATAACTTTTCCATTACGGAGCTGCCTACTTTATTTCAAATAACATTATTTTCGTTAGAATTTTGATGTTACTCCTCTCTGATATCAAGCTATCCTTCTCCCTAGATTCCGTTTTTAATAATACGCTTTTTTCCACGAGCCTAAAAATATTACTTTCTATTATTTATCCTTGCTTTCTATATTTTCTTAGACCTGCACAAATTTTATTTTTTTCATATATGATCAACCCATTTATTTATTTTGTTTATACATAATTTTATTC